CGAGCCCCGCGGCCGAGCTCAGCCCCGCGACAGCCGAGAGCATTCCCCGGAAGCCGCCCGCCGAGCCCCAGGAGGACGCAGGAGACCCCGCAGCATTTCCCAGCAAGGCAGAGGAGGAAGAGCTGGACTCAGGGAAAGAGAAGCTGGTGGTGGGAGAGCCGGCAAGCACAGCAACTACACCAGCCCCAGTGACAAGTACAGCAGCTACACCAGCCCCAGTGACAAGTACAGCAGCATCGCTTGAGAGTTCTGAAGGTTTTGGATGGCCTTTGGGTACCCTTGGGACCTGCCTGCTGATTGTGATGGGGATCAGCATGCTGGCACACATACAGAGGGTGTTTTACCCACCACCACTTTGTCTGATCCTGAAATTTACGCAGAGTCAGGTTTGGGTCTTGTCTGGGATTAGACAACAACATAGGAGGACCAAGAGGTTTTTCCCAAGGCTGGACAATCATGAGTGGCAGGGCATGTGGGACAGTATGGGCAAGTATCTAGTCCACCGGGCCCCTCCAGTGCTTTGGAAGCATCGGAGATGGAAGGCAGCTGTATGGAGTCCCCAGCAACAAGCTGCAGAAACTGCTGAAGGGGACAGTGAATTATTTTGAGCCTGGTGGGCCCATGACCCTTAAGGCTAACAGAGCAGAGATGCAATATAAGAGATGGAGTCATGATCAAGGGGTGGACTTAGCAATGGACACTATTGCCCAGGTTATTCACAAGCGTGAACACTGCACACAGCCTCTCGTGCTCTGGAAGACTGCTACAAGAGATGGAGCCCGACATCATGGACCAGGTGGACTCAGCAGCTTTATAGGGACTGGCCCATGCACTACGATGAGAGTGCACTTAGATAAGAGTGATGGTATATTGAAAATGTGGGATCTGAGCATGACGTGAATTGTATGGAATAAGGGGTGGATAATGTCCTGGGTTCAGCAGTAGCAGTCATTTTTCTCCTTCTTGGTAGCTGGTGCAGTGCTGTGTTTTGACTTTCAGCTGGGAACAGAGCTGATAACAATGATGCTTTGGTTTGGCCAAGGACTTTGTGGGCCTCATGCTCTGCCAGGGAGGAGGGAAGCCGGGAGGAAGCAGAGACAGGACACCTGACCCAAACTGACCAAGGAGGTATTCCATACCACAGCACGTCATACCCAGGAGGGAACTGGGAGTTACCCAGAAGGGCTAAGTGGACTGCAGGGTTGGAGGAGGTGTCGGTCGGTGCTTGGTCGGGCTGGGGGTCGAGTTATCAGTCGCCTGGTGCTGAGGTGTTGTATTCTCTTCCCTTGTTATTTCCTTTATCATTACTGTTTTTGGTGGCAGCAGTAGTGATTTGTGTTATACCTTAGTTACTAAACTGTTCTTATCTCAACCCGTGGGAGTTGCATTCTTTCTGATTCTCCTCTCCATCCCTCCAGGAGTAGGGGGAGGGCAAGAAAGGGGGGGGGGGAGTAGGTAACAAGCTGTCTGGGTGGGGTTAAACCACGACATTATGTTTCCCTGTGTATCAGACATACGAAATATTGACCAGGGCAGGAGGGGGAGGACAATTGGTGCATTAGAAACTTGATGTTAATAATTCTGTTAAGAAATTTATACCCTACATTAATTAGAGCAAGCTCCTTGATACTGTGAGTGAAGAGGAGTTGTAAGAGGACTCTGTCCCCTTCAAACAGGCTAGTTATTTAGGGACAAATTCAGGCAAGGAGAAGGTGCATAACTAGTTTATAACTTTGATATTTAGTGAATGCAGTTAAAAAACCTTACTGTTGTGCTGGGGTTACAGGTTTTTCCTCATACTGTGTTAAATGTAAGAAACATATAAAAACATATGTTTTATTCTGGGTTATTCAAATAAATAAATCATAAAGGGAAGTTTTCTAGGAAGGTAGTGAAATCAAAAGCCTGGGTTAGGAGTGTGTCCTGGTGAGCAGATCAGTTTGGTAGCCCCTAGGAGTAGCAAACACACACCTTTAATAGACTGCTCAGTTGGTGGCTGAGTAGGCAGTAAACCTTATTTTGTATGAACTATTATTCTTTGTCAGGTTTGCTTAAATTATCTGAGTTCAAAGTTGGTTTTCATAAGAGTCTCCCCAGTCACTTAGGAGATTTGGACCTGGCTGTAGACTTGAGTACTGCACTTAATACCTGGGCTGTTTGCTGGAAGTAGGTGTAGACCCTCAAGGAAAAAAGTGACTGGTAGTGGCTAGGAAAAGCATAATGGATAATTGATCAACTTCAAGCAAGAACAAAATGATCTGTTGCCTTTTTTGTTGTTACTGTTGACTGGCTGATCACGTTAAATCCAATAGGAGCTTTTGGGTTAACCATTCAGTGAAATAACCATTCAGTAAAAAGCAGGCCTACAACTAGATTTGCTGGAAGCCCTTTTCTGAGTACCATAGGTGACCACATCATTCAAAAGCCTGCTCTGTTGGTGTAACACTGTTAATTAGATGGATAAGTTGCCGTTATGCTACAGAATATAGTTGAATTTCTGTTGCATTGTTCCTGATTCTGTTATTTATTTGAAGGGAGAAATGCCTTTTTTCAAAAGACAGGTCTTTAAAATGAGCGTTCTTTTTAGGACGTTATGTTCTGTGATAGTCGTGAGAGCTACTGCAATGAACAGTAGTGCTGCCTTAGGTGTAGTTACGGATGCTTTCAGCTGCTTTTCAGTGAAGGAAGGTGTGATGTACCTTTTACACAACAGTAGATACGACTGTTTGGAGTAGTCATGTAACTTGTACTTTAATTGGAGGCAATATTTTCTAAATCTAAATGCAAGTAAAAGATAAATGCTATGACCATTAAGATCATTATATGTTCTGTTCTGTCATACTCCTGTGACCAGATAGGGACTGATTGCCTATGTATTTGGTTAGGACACCTGTAGGCAAGAAGATTGTAGCTCTACCAGTGGACACATGCTTTGCATCAGCTGGGTGGCGAAAGGTTACTCTATTAGTGAGGTTTGAGGTGTTCCCTTGAAACATGGGGGTTGTCACTGTTGGATTTGCCTAAAACCCCTCTGGCCTTTCTTAGTCATGGAAGATGCAAAACATTTTATTAGCACAGGACGTCAAACAGGAGTTGTGCAGTTGCTTGTCATATGTGAATTAAACAAATCTCTGAAACTGGGAGATTTTCTGGGGAAGGTGTCATTTCTTATTCTGGAGAAATAAAAGCCAAGGAGTATGGGACATTAGGTTACACTAATGGTCATAGATAAATGATGGAGCTGACCTGTGGCAAGACCTTTTTTAATCAAGACTGTTAGAATTGAGCTGATAGTGTCCATGAAAAGTGAATGCAATAGCCATATGAACTCTTGCTGATTCTAGCATTGATACTTGAAGAAAAAATGCAAAACATTAGCTAGAGGGCTAAAATCTGGGGAGGCTAATAGAGGAAGAAATAATGTAAAAGAGTTAAAATATTGGTCTGTAACTGGTGTCTGAATTAAAGGGCAATGTGCTGCCTTGAATCAAGCTAAATTGATCAGCTTTTCCTCATAGATACTTATTCAGCCTTGCTGCTTCTGCTTTCCTATATTACACCTTTTTTTTTTTTTTTTTTTTAATCCACTAAAAGCCAGGCTAAAATCAGAGCTTTAATGTTCCTCCAGCCTTTCCTATAGGTATGAAAAATGTAGTGAGAAAAGGGTACGCAAGGTGAAGAAAGTAGACAAAGGGGATGTTAACCTACTTTTGGGGGCTAGCAGAGCCTGTCAGGTGCTGCCTGTCCTGATGTTAAGTATGTGATTTGAGGTAGTACCTTTACAGTGAAACTCAATTTCCCAGTGCCCTACAAACTACTTATACACTGGAGGAAGTGATATGGACTCAGATGAGTTTGTACGCGGTGCCTTGCTAGTAGTGTCTGAGCTGAGTTAGCTGTACTGTACCATTGATAGTATGATGTGATGCATCCTAAATCAGTACTTACTACTTGTACTATTTTGAACTTAGTGTCTTGAATGGCTCAGGATTTTGTGCTAGAGTCAGCTCTGTTGATTTGGCAAGTGCTTGGTAAGCAAAGATGATTACAACTGTTGTTTGCAAGTATTTAATTACTGTATTTAAGGTCTTGTGCTTCCATGACTTCTGCAAGAGAAATGATAGCTGTTTGGTGTATTGCCATGTATGAACCACAAATAATGATAATTACCCTGGCTACTTTTCATTTCATAATCATAGAATCATATAAAGGAAATTCGACATGATTGTACTTAGACATGTGCAAGGTCCAGCAACACTTACATTCTGTGGTGTAGTGATTTTGATATAATATGATGGATTTTGTGTAAGAAGAGCTTGAACATGCATTCTTAGGCTAAAGTGGCAAGTTAATGTGCCTGTAATGTAGCAACAAGATCTGTGAACAGCTTTCTCTGGCTGTATAGGACTTGTAAGAGGAAGGACCGTGGTAGTGAGGTGAAGTAACCATCCAAGAATTTTGCACTATTACCCCAGGGTACTGCTTGAAATTGGTTATATGACTGCAGTATGTCTAGGTTTAAAAATAAAAACTTGCAGAAAAGCATCTCGGAAAATGGAGTGAAAAACATGACCAGTTCTATACCACTGACTTCATACCCACTATAGAGATTACATTTATGAGCAGAATTTAGCTTTGTTAATAGGGCTGGCTGTCAGTGTTTTGAAGCTAAGTCAAATTTATAAAGCCTTCTCAACACACTTTGCTGAAAAAACATGTTGAACTGTAAATGCTTCACCAAACTCTACATTGCATGAAGGCAGGATGATTACTGCTGAAGAAAGAATCATGATAACTGAACAATAAGAGTCAAGAGGAGAGATGTCTGCCAGGTGGACTGAAATGTTTGTAGATCTATGTGTCAAAGCACTTGAGTAGTGCAAAAAACCTAAACATTGTGACTATTTTCATGTTTCTCATTTGAAAGCTCAGTGGTGGTATCAAACTACTTTGCTGTCCTAGTAACAGTGTGGCTTTATTACCTGTTTCCTTCTGCCTTTTAGATTTGAGAACAAAATAAAGAGGAGGCTTTTCTATTAGAACTACCTCACTTCTGGAGAAAAGTGCTTGAGAAAAGAGGTCCATCTTCATCAATTGCATGCGTGTTTTATTAGACTGAATAGATACACAGTATCCTGCTTAGCTGAGAGAGGTAAGAGCACTGTTCCTTCTGTTTATCATAAATCTCTATGATGCTCCGTTAATATTTTAGTGAAAATACTTTTGGTTGCTAGCTTATTAGTATTTGCAGCAGCAGAAGGAAGAACATTAGAAGTGTGTAGCATTCCTAGAGGATTTTTAGGTGAAAAAGTTGTGACAGTATGCTGTTCTATAGTAACCATCCATAACACCTCCTCAAGCCACTTATTGGCTAATTTGAAGCTAGATCCTGACGTACTTGCTAGTGATGAAGGGAAAATTGAGAAGAAAATGGTAGATGTAGGCTTATCTTCTGCCCAGTGAGCCTTTGAAAATTCTATGTAGCGTCCAAAGTCAGAGCAAAGGTGACTTTTCAAGCAGTCATCCATATGTACCTCCTATGGAAATGCATAGCTTTAAGGTGAGGCTTTGGTGTCCTTGTGCTGATCTCTTGGGAAGCTTTTTTGTGAACCTCAGTTTTGACTGCTGGCTTTAACATAGGAACTAGAAGGTTTCTATCTCTAGCCAATTTATGGATGTTAAGTACAAGACAGTATTGCTCTAAGAATAATTTTGGTGATTCAGACCAATCTATATAGGACCGGTGTAAAAGACTAGCATCCTTCAATCTGCACATCAGGACTGATATGCAGAGATGGTGCTAAGGCAAAGTTATAAATGGAAAAAAAAATAATCATGCAAGCCTTTAATATTCACAACCTTTTATGGAGGGAGGTTCATTTTAGTGAAGTTACAGGTGGTGTAAATAAATGCTTTGTGAATTTTTAAACCTTTGTGATAATAGAAAAAATGAAAGACATGCAGTAAAACTATGAAAACTAGTTTTGCCTTGTTGAAGCTATTCATGGTGTGTTGTGACATTCTTGTCCCCAGGTGACATGTTCCTAGTCTATAATGTAGCATTATACAGGAATTAGTGCATATCTTTCATCCTTGTTGATTTTCCTGTACTAGATTAGTTATGATTTACCCATTTTGAAATAAGGAGGGCTGGGAGGACTCAATAAGATTTGTTCTGTGAATTCATACAGGAAACATGTGATTTAATTGCCCATTGTTGTTTATTCCTTGCATCATTTTTCAGGTCACTTCTGAATGCTTTGAATAATGCATGCTCCAACACAAGTCCATCTGGGATCACACTAGTCAACTTCTTTTATCATTAAAAATTGCTTTCCTTCCTGGTTTGTTGTTCATCTTTGAGATGGTTATTAATGCTTGAAGGCTGTTGCCTTTTATCTGCAACAGCTATTACTATTTAAGAGCCTTTGAGATATCTTGACACAACTCTTTGAAAATCTGAATTTGCTTTTCCTCTTGTCCACGTGCTGTCTGACTCCTTCAAAGAAACCCAATAAACTTTATTTTCTTAGGCAGAAATGTGCCTCTTTGTCAAAGTTAGCTTCAGCAAGATATCGGATATAAAGCAGAATTATTGCACAAAGCTTTACAGTGTGTTATGTTAGCTTTCAGACTAGGTGATGGGGTGGGGAATGTTACCCTTACAAACTAGGTAACTATCTGATCAAAGCCTGTAGAAAAGCATCCAGAACTGAACTCATCCTCTTTGCTTTTACTCTTTATTGTTTGCAGTTTGGCTCTGCTAGCAGCTTTACTTGGGCCATCTTGCTAGTCATAGCATATTCTGTTTATTTCCATCTGTGAGGCAGCTGAACACACTAGGGAGGGAATTTTTTGTGGACTTCTCTGTGGTTACCCAGGTTCTTGTCATCTACTAGTTGCCTTGCTACAAAGTTCCCAGGGTAGCCCCCAAAGAACTCCAGAGAAACATTATAATGCAGAAGAAACACTAAAATGCAAAAAAACCCACTTGCATTCATAGTAGTATGTTGTATGCTAGCTGAATAATAACAAGAGTTAATTCAGAAAAAGTTATCTCAGGTGCTGTTACCAGAAGATGGAGCCGTGGGTAGCAGTAGTAATAAATCTAACAAAAATCACTGCCTTTGAGTGACATACTCATGTTGTCAATCTAGCAGAGTTCCAAGACCTGAAAACTAATCACTCTTAGAAAAAAGCACCTAGTTGTGTACCTTTATGGCTTGCTGACTTAAGCTGTCTGCTGAAAGTTGGATCTAGTCCTCCATAGCACTGAGCTTCAGTTGCAAGTTAAGATTCAGTCTAAATGTCTGTCTGGGTAAGGCATCTGAATTCAGAAAATCAAGGCTTTTGAGGTTACTACAATTTGAAAATGATTTATCCATATGTGTATTTTTATTTGTTCATCAGTTTCTGGTGGTACTGATACATAGCATCAGTAGTATACATAGCTCCTTATCAGATTTGTCATGCAGATCGTGTCTCACTATTTTTGACATAATGCACTGTTTCCCTGGAGACTCCAAAGGCTGACTCTGTCCTTTTCTGCTTTGGGTTGGGAAAAGCATGTTTTATGGTCAGATTCTCACTAGTTTATGTGAAGTCCTAAGCCACCTTCAGATTCTGAACCTGATCCTTCTTCCCTTAGAGTCAGCTGCTGGAGGACTGAGCTCACCTGCTTGCTATATTCCTCAAATGTTTTGTCATATAACTGGCCAGGGCTCTGATCCCTTACTCGTCTCATGAGGAGATATCAAACTGTGATATCACCTTTCATGTAAAAAAAAAATCAGCTTCATCACATAACAAACAGCTGGATGCCTCAGTCTTTAAGGTCTTTCAGAGTTTAAAAAATTGTTATCTTTGCCCAGTGTCACAAAAAGGAAGTATATTATTATTTCAGGTAGAACTTCAGTTGAAAATTAAGTTATAATATTATACCTTCCGGCTAAGGAGGATTTCTTGTATGTGTGTTTTGCAATGAATATTGATATTGGCAGATGTTTATCTGCAGGAGAATTGATGAAACGTTTTTCTAGAAGAAAATACTATTTGCTTACATGCAAGACCAGCATGTTCATTTGCCCTTGGAGGCAAAAAAGGAACCAACCTCTTCGATAAAGTGCTATTTTTGTCTTCCTTTGAATACTGCTTATCGTGCATTATGTATGTTTTTTTCTAAATGCTGTCAGCAGATACAGCCAGCCATTAACCTTAAGTACTTCCTATTTAAAGATAGCACCTGTAGTCATTCATTCAGTTTTGTGGGACAAAGGCCTTAGGTTACTTGCTGATGATAGCAGAGACCTGATCCTGTAATGGCATGTCAGCATTTTGCATCCTGCTCTGATGGGAAGAGTCTACCTCTATACATCTGTAATCTACTTTGGTAAACTCTTTGTATAATAAGAAGAGGAAGAAGGTACTTGTATACAGTGGACTGGATGAAGTGGTGTATGGAATAGATTTGCAGAGTGCCCTTGGCAGACAAGGGAGAATGCTCCCAGACAATGTAGCATTTTTACTGCTGGACAGTGGAAGTTTCTTCATAGTCTAAATGTCTCCACAGACTAGGTGAGACCTATATAGAGGCCTTCTGTCCTGCTGTGTGTGGCTGATAGGGTAATGTAGCTGGCTGAATCTATATAAGATAGTAAAGTTTAGGTCACTTATATTTAGAAAGATTTCTGTAGGAGGTGATATCCACATTACTGACTGGAGAGGATGATGGTAGAGAGAAGAAAGTGTGAACAGATAGGTAAGTTGATGTACCTACGTGTTTGTTGCCTAGGTATTGAAAATACCTTTGGTGCCAATTAGAGTGATCTATTCAAATTTGTTCCCAGCATTCGGTTTTACCTTGTGTTAAGTGCATTCATGGTGTAGACTGACAAGATGTTTAGCAATGATGGCAGAATTGTGGTTGACTGATGTAAATATTTCCTGCCAATATATGCTGAATAGCTTACATTTGTCAAAGTCAATCTATCCTGGTCTCTTCCTGTCTGGATCAGTACTAGAGCAGAGTCTGTACTTGCGGAAACGATCAGCTAGTCAGTTTGTGGGAACTCTATTATTCATGTGTCTCCTGAACTAGTTTTGCTGCAGTTTTGTTGAAAGTATGCTTCCACATATTTAGAGGATAAAAAACCTCGACCCAGTTCTACTGTTATGGTTTGTAACAGTTTAGTATAATTCTGGTATTTAAAATTCTCTTTTGGTACACCTTTTGGCATATGAGCAGTGTCTGCAGGGAGCTGGCTTTGTGGCTCTTTACCTGGCAGCAGCTGGAGGTTGACCCCATGATTAACAGGCATCTGTTCACAAACCTTTTATTTCAAACTGCTTGTTGTAACAGAGTGGGACAAATCAGTGTTGTCTCTACAGATACTGTGCCTGTACAGATGAAATATGGACAGGCCTTGAATGTGTTTTGGAATGGATGTTTTGTTAAATTCGTTACACTAGATTTTTAGCTACCATAACCTGAAAGTCCTACTAACTCAGATCAGAGCTTGCCTGCTTAAAGCTGTCTATAACTCATTTTCAGGAGAAATTCATTCTGAAGTGGCTGATACCTCATTTCCAGGATAAAATGCTTTGAGTCTTCCATGTATGAGGTGGGTGTTATTTTATTTACATTCAGCAGTTGCCTCCACTTCCATGATTAACTTAAAGTCAATACACGTATATTGTAGGCTGTCGAACTCAGAGCATCCAGACTGAGGAAACAGCCCATAGTCCTGTGGTTCTCTGTCTCATGGCTGTGTAGGAATTTCTCAGATCTTCCTGACACCTTCAAACTTTTGGGATAGGCTGCAGCTAGCTTGTGTTATGATAAAAGGTTAGCAGGATAAGTCTGTGTCAAAAAGAATTGTCTGATGCTATTTGTACTATCATTGCTATGCAAGTGGATGTGTAGTGGAAATAGTCTCCTGTATCCCTGTTTAGTATCTGCTCTATTTTTGCTACCAGGCTGTGTGTATACTGTAATATTTGCGTATGAGTTGGGAAAAAAATTGCAAGGCTTTAGGAAACTGTATTCCAAATGTTAATGGTCTAGATGGTGTTCTGCCTTCTCCTCAATTTGTTAAAATCCTAACAGGAAAATTTAAAAACACCTTCTCTTACAGTGGGAGTTGCTTTTCCTCA